TTGAGGTTTACTCTTTTGCTGTTTCTGTTTTGTCCCAATTTCTGTGACTGGCCTCAAGGAAGAAAGACAGGAGGCAGAAAAGCTGAACAAGTAGAGTTGATTGCTTCCGGGCAGCAGCTGAGATGGAAATCCCTAGGGTGGGGTCTGCCAGCTACTGCGAGTGGTATAGGTAAAGTATATAAGTGTCTCTTATGTAGGCTTTAGGTTCAAATTCTAGAAAGCTGACGTGGTGCTCTACACCTGGATGTAAGGCCCAGTTCTGGTCACTGTGCTGTTGCCCATATATGGCCACAGGTAGCTGCTGTGTTACTGCCCATACCTGGTTACACTCAACAGTTTCATGGTACACTGCATTACTCCTTTACTTTTCTTAGCTTATTCCTTTTAATTATTGGAAAATAACTTTCTTTAACATGCCAACACACATAAAAAACTGATTGGAATAATTAAAAGTATTTTTTCTCAAATTTTGCTAAACACAATCCATTACCTATGAATTATGAGCAATGGATCTCATATATATGTTTATAAAGTACATATATGAAGTCTGCATGTGTATACTGATATGTGTATATTTAATATATAGGTATAAATATTTGTATATGAGATGACAGAATTGGTCAAGGCTTTCTTCACACACAAAAAAAAAGAACTGGAACTTTTCCTTTTCTTACAAAACATGCAAAACTGAGGGGGAAAACTCTAGTATCTCTATGAATTGGCTATGTTTCATGTATTGATTTAGAAACACCATTATTTAAGAGTATTAAAAAAGTTTACTTTCACTTAAATCCAATATGGGCTTTTACTAGTTGTCTTTTCTATCTGGCTTATTTCACTTGGCATCATGCTATTATGGTTCATCTGATACATGTTGTGGTATATATTTGAATTACATTCATTTTCATGATTGAAAAATGTTCCACAGCATGTATATTCATGTCTTGTTCATCTGTCTGCTGATGGACACTTTGGTGGTTTCTATTTTTTGGCTGATATGAATAACACTGTGATGAGTATTAGTGCAAAAGCATCTGCTCAAATCCTTACTCTCCATTCTTTTGGGGTACATGCCCAGATGTGGAACTTATATATAATATGGGAATATCAATTTTTATCTATTACTACTCAGTGGATGTATCATTCTACATTCCCATCAACAATATAAAAAAGTTCTCTGTACATTTTTTTTTTTTTTGGAAAGAAATGTGAATCTCCTTAAGGAAGCATTTTTCCTTGAATTTTTGAGTTATACAGGGGATAAACCACATATCCCCTGTGTATCAAACAGTGTATCATTGTGCATTATTTACTGATGTTTCATTGATGATGAGGGTCCCAATAGGCTGTATCATATAAATTAGGTATATAGTAGGTTATAACAACTAGGTTTGTGTAATTACACTCAGTGATGTGCACAGGATGATGAATCACTTAATTACACATTTCTCAGATTTTATACATTTCTCTGAATGTATCCTCATTTAGTGACATGTGACCATACAGATTTTTCTTTTTGATATATTCAGCTATATGTTATTTTTTTATTTCAGCATGAACTTTTTTTAATCTTTGTTCAAAAATTATCTCTATGGTATTATTAGATGCCATCCTTTGTAGGTTTTTTAGAGAATATACTTCAGGCCCTGTTAAAAGCAGGACAGAAGAAGAGTTTCTCCAAATTCCCAGTGTGACCCCCCAGAAGGGCTGGCTATGGCATGGTCCCCTGTGGAGTAGTTCAGAAAAGTCTAACTGGTTTGCATTTGGTGGTTCCTTTTTCATAAAGCCATGCCCCTATGATGTTTCATTTTTTAAACAGCCGGGTCTTCACTGATAATTAGTAATGTTTGTTGAGCATTTGCCACATGGCAGCAACTGCATGTCTTTTATTCATCTACTTTTAGGTATTTTCTGTCAGGGCACTTCGCAGTGAGTAGCACATATTTTAGAAACCTATTTAAATGAACATTCAATACTTTAATTTCATCTATCTTTGACTTTTTTCTACCTAGTGATCTTTATCTACTTTGAATTTCAACCATCCACTTCTAGATCAATGCCTTAAACCCTGTCATGGCACAGAAATGAGTGTTCCACTCCTGAGATCTTAAGTGACAATGCTTCACTTTCTGACTTCCTATCAAAAATTTTAATTCCTGATACATTTACTCTTTGAATTCTCAAGACACTTGGTTTCTTGACTCCTTTCTCTTTCAGGATACACACCTCTGTCCTTTATTTCCTGCCCTATTTTCCTCAAACTATCACTCATCATCTCAACAATTCTTCAGCTAGCACATTCTCAACCTCTTTGCTCCCTGTCATTTTAATCTTGCAAGTTATAATCATTTCAATACTTTGCCTTCTGTACTGCTCTACAAAGACCGTTGTATGTGTTAAATTACACAACAGTACAAGTTAGGACTCATACAAATTTTGTGTATCATGTCCAGCTGAGTCCTTAGTATTGCTTGACTGTGTTACTCTTGCCTTAATGCAGTAGCTACTCTAATCCTGTCATTTCTTTTAAAGCTTCCTGCCCGCTCACCAAAGCTCCACATTCTTTGACCTTTATATTACAAGGAAAAAAAGAAACTATTAATTGTAAGCTGACATTGATTTATAGCTAGCTATTCTTATCTCCTTTACTCCTTTCTATGAGCACAAGGTGACTAGCTGCCTGCTCAAGGCAAACTTTATTGCAGATTTTAAATTCCACTCATGTAAATTATTAAGTCTTTGAAAAACAAATATTTTAGCTTAACAATTCTCAAAATCTTTCAATAACCTTCTTTAATTCAACAAGAAAAGAAGTATCAAGAACCAGATTCAAAGTTTGTTTTTTAGGAAGTCAGTTTGTGCAAGATTATCATATGGAATCCTGGACACTGTAATGTCATCAACAGAGATAGAGCATGACACAGATGGTTCCATCAAAAACTCTCCTTATCAATGCAGTGAAGCTATAGCACATCACACCACAACATCCAAGGTCTGGGCACATATCACACAGCGTACAGTAACTCTTAGTGGAAGGTTTAATATATGTCTCCCCTTTATTATGCTAACAAGAAGAGATACTAATTTAATGTAGCTAATCAAAATGTGCATATAAAGCAACACTTCTCAAACTTGGCTGCCCTGAGGACTTTCTCAAGTGTTTTAAAATAGAGAGAGCACGTCCCACACCTTGTGGCTATGACTCGAACAGCCTGGGTTGGGCTAGTCAGCAGGATTTCTGAAGGCTCCTTGTGTGATTTCTAATGCACAGCTATAGTTGAAAATCACTGATGTAAAAGATAGAAGATAGAAATATTCACTCCATGGAGGGGATGTACTGATTCTCTAGCAGGGTTACACTTAACTACATGTCCGCATATAGAAGCTGCTATTTTAAATACAAGCAAATGTAATTAGTAATCAGTTTGTAATCAAACATATTTGGCATTTGATAAGTATATCAGTATCTATAGCTGCTGTAACAAAGTACCATAAATTTGGGAAATATAAAACAATAGACATTAATTGTCACATTTGAAGGCCATAAAATTCAAAATCATAGTGTCATCTAGTCTATGCTCTCCAGTCAGCTTGCAGAACGTTCCTCCTGTGCCTCTTGCAGCTTTTAGGTTTCACCCAGATTTGCATTTTATATAAAAGAACACCAGTCCTATAGGGTTACCACATGCTGATTACCTCATTTTAACGTGTAAAGGCCCTAGTTCCAAATGAAGTCCTATTATTATAAAGTGCTAGATGTTAAATTTCAGCATTAATTTTTGAGGGACATAATTCGATCTATAGCTATTACTACCAATATATCATTATTTTAGAGGAAGCATTTAGATTTCAGTAACACTGCTTCAAGGCAGGGTTTTTAACATGAGCATAGAAAAAATTCCATCTTTACTTTTCATTAGCTTTCAGTAAGTACAGCACTTTTTACTATGATGAACACAAGCAACAAACCACAGTAGCACTACTGGCAGTTCTTTAGAATTTGCACCCATAGAAACCATTGGTATTTTCATGTCACATTCCAATGTTTGCAGTTACTCCCCAAATACCAATTATAGTCATCACTACTCTGAAATCACAGCCTTGCAGTTATATTTATTTAATGTACTTATAGTGATGCAGATATATAGTGACATTGCATGATACAATACTTTCAAAATCGATGAAACTGACTTTGAGGTTATGATTGCAAGTTATACACATAACAATATTCTGAGAGGGGGCCAAATTAAGAAAACAAAATCTTCAACAAACTTAGAGTCCCATTTGATAAGTTCTTATATTTTAAGTTCTTAATCAAAGAATATACTAGGCATTGTATGAATTAGAATTTTTAACTAATTTTTTACGACAATTAACTGTCAGAATATCTATTTTACATACAGCCCACTATATAATCTTACCTCTTCAAGTGCAACAAAAATTGAAACAAAAGTATCACAAAACAATATTTACTCTTACTACAGGAGATGTAGTCTGACATTTTCTATTGTATTTTTTTGATTAAAATAATGCCAGTGTGACCTACGGAATTAATTTCACAACTACTCCTAGAACACACATTAAATTTGTAAAAATCCTTATAAAAGTAGTCATTCAGAAATTTCTGATACTGTGTACTGGGCAAAATTTTATATTATTGCTACTCATGTATTGAAATAAAAAGGTATCATTTTACAGGTGGCCTTTAGATGAGTAAATATTTCAACAGCCAACCAGGCTTCAGACAACTGACTGTGAGTTATGCAAATTATTTAATTCTGCTGGGAGGCTAAACTCAAGCTTTAGTAAGTGTAAGAAAGAAAAGAGGTAGCATAATGAGTATTTTATAACTGAATCATTTAAAAATTATAAAAATATATTAAGTGTATACTGTTTAATTTCATTGAGATATAGCCTCATTTTCTATTGTAAAATCAGGTAGAAACACATCCCAACTAATAAGATTTATTTAACCAAAGGCAAAAAAAAATTTTTTTTACCTGTAGTAAATTCGAAGTGTTTGGATTTCTTCTTCCAGTTTTTTGTACTGTTGTACTGCAGTTTCTCTAGCTTGCTGCATAGCTAACAATTTTGCCTGCAAGTAATTAATAGTTTAAGAAATTTGATATTGCATATTAATAAACAGTACTACATTTTGAATAGTTCCCAGTAGTTTAAAACCTATCAATAATTTTAGTAGAGTCTTGTAAATCCCTATACAATGCAACTATAATAGAAAAGACATGAATATAATAAATTTACCAACTTTGTTCATTACTAAACTTCAACCTAATTTATCTGTATCATCAGATATATGACCCTCTGCAATGTTTAACTTTATACACAGATTCAGATTGAGGAACATGGGTTCAGAGCAGTATCTAGGAGAGATAAGCACAATGTGTGTTTCACATACAAATTTAATGTGGCTCCACTGCCTGATCACATTAGATTTTCTTTTAACTTTATTAAACTACAACTCAGAAATTCTAAATATGTTGCCAAGCCATCTCTGATATTTAACATAAAAAATACAAAAGACTACACCCAGATTCTTAGAGAAATGACTTAACCTTTTCAATTCCTTTCTACAGGAGAAACAATCTTTAAAGGGGAGAAAGGTAGCAATCCTGTATGTTAGAGACATTTTATTCAAGAGGGGCTATTGATCCTTCCTGCCTATATTATTCAAATATTAAAGGGTCTGTGATCAGCTTTTCTTCTTTCTTTTTTAAAAAAGATTTATTTATGCATCAGAACTGAGGTATAGGCCACAGGTGCATAACTGTGAGAGGCTTCACCAGAAACAGAGTGGGGAACAGAACAGGCAGACTGATAAGGTACACTGCTGAGGGGAGCAGGCCCGGGGAGATAGGAGAGGTCTTGTGCACCATGTGGGTCACCTCCCTGGTCCTAGCTGGGATCGTACTTGTGCTGAAGTGGCTGCGGCTAGTTGGGAGTGCTGCCTTTTGACCCACTGAGCCACCAGGGTAGGTCCTGCAATCAGATTTTCAACAGAGTTCAAACCAGTAACATAAAAGTAAATGCCAAGTTCCAGCCATCAGTGCTATTGGATTCCTGGCAGAGACAGTAAGTTTTCATGTAACTTTAAAGATATGGTACTAATAACTCAGATTTCAGTTTTGTTTATTCAAAGTTTAATTTGCACGAAAAACTTGTCTTTCACTTTAAATAGTATTTTATAGATAAAAGATTAAATTGCTATCACGCAAGTCATACACTACAATAATGGTAATAACTAAAAATTAATTAAAACTTTTGGGCCATGAAATTTATAAACTTTGTTGAACTTAAATGGTTTCACTAAAATTATCTTCTTGCTAAAAATGAAGTCATAAGACAAATGGTGGAAACTAGACCAAATGAAAATTAACTGGAGAATGTAAGTGTTCATAAAAAATACCAATTTTCAATTTTAATAGTTAAAAGTTAAAAAAATGCAGTAGTTTAAATCTTTGCCTACAAATTTAGACACACAACTGAGTAAGTTGTTTTCTCTAGGCTAGCAATTCAGTGCTCTCAATTGAACCTAAGATGTCTGGATGCTTGCTTTAACACACCACATTCTAGAATTATGGATGAAACATTCTCAAAAATTATGAAACAGCATGTAAAGTAAAAATAGGTTTGTGATGACAAAATTTAGTATTGCTAATTTTCAACTTACTATAAAAAATGTGACTGAAATGACAATTTGACATCCACTCATGGTTGCTAATGGCAAGTCAAAAGAAAAAAATATACCAGAGTACTAACACTTTTTAACTTACATCAGACATTCTATTGTATAAATTTAAGAAACAGAAAACCTTCTGGAAGAAACAGATAATTTGCTAAATAAATATGTGACAATCTGAAATATCTTAGATGCTGATTTCTTTTTACCCTAGTTTTTAGGGCAACATTTTCTGGGTCTCCCCCAAAATACAAAACCCAACAGTGTTCTAGCAGTAAAGTACCTTCTATAGATCATGCTTATGGAGTTTGTAAAATGAAAATGTGAATGCTACAAGTAATTTTGAACATTTCATCTGTTGTCCCACATTTAACTGGATATAAAGTTTTGGTATTGCTTCATGGCTAGCTACTCAATTAATAAATTTCAAATGTTTACTCTGTCTAGGTCCTATGACTGTGTTCAAAGCAGTTATAAACTTTCTGGTTTTACAACCTCTTCCCTCTACTTTATCAGATATGTGCTTAACTGTTTAGCATATTTTTGGGGGGGGAAATACCATCACCCTATGTTACAATGATCTTGTTCAGTCGTGGTGGCTAGGAATTCTCTACCTCCTCAGGTATACATAATGCAGGTTCCTAAAGCAGGCTATTCCATCTCACTACCGCTTAGGAGAAAATAAAATCCTGATGACTTTACTTATACTCCTGAATCTCCATATGCCAGAAGGCAGCTCCAGATCCATTTGGACTGCCTAGGTAGATGAATCCTTATTAATATATTAATTAACCAATTTACTTATTTAGTTTTGGACAGCTACTTTGACTTCAATTGATAATATAGGTAACATAAGAAAATTTACTTGGGTTGGGCACTGTACCAAGCACTTGAAATATATTGCTATAATCTACATTTACAATAAGCTACAAGGTAATTACTATTATCCCTATTTTACAGGTAATAAAACTGAGGTTCATGAAGATTAAGCAGCTCATAAATATAACATACCTAGTGATTGACAGAATTCATACATGTAGATAGATCATAATATATATTAATTTATATTCTCAGAGATATATAACAGACAGCAAAAAATAATTCAGTAATTTGAAAAAAAATACAAATATGTGGGTTCACAAGCATGTGATTTATAAATGTTACAGCTACAATTGCAGGGAAAGGAAATGCAGATATACCATATATTCCTGAGTGTGCTACTTATTCATGTTATCACTCAATGCTTTCCACACATAAGTACACATTTTCTTCTTAATGCCTCCAAATTTTGCTACTCTTTCCCCACTGTCATTCCAAATCCCATCTAGTGCAAAAATGTAAGAAACTAGTTGCTGTATTTATAATAAATATGTGCATACTTTGCATTCAGTTTTAAGTCATTAAGATTTTTAGTTTAAGGGTGTCTTCTCACAGGGCATTATGTATGGTTAGTCCAATAATGGAAACCTCTGGGAGTCACAAAGTATTTAGTCTTGACAGGATCTGCTTCTCTGAGCTATGTTTAAAGTGTGTTGCTGGTTCACTTCTCCCTTAAGAGCAGAAAAAATGTAAACACTGGTTTTTCTGCCACCAAAATTTGCCTACAAAAATATCTGTCTTCTTAAGCTGTGGTAGCCTCAATCTACCTGTCTTCTAACATATGATAGCCTCAAACTAATTTTACTACTGTGAAAAAGATTTCTAAGCATAGGCTACAAATCTTTTTAAAATTCTCTAAACAAGTTTTATGAACTTATCACTAAATTCTACTAGTTGTCAAATACTGCCTTTAAAACCATGCAAGACATCCTCTATTGTAATAAGTATCCAAAGTTAAAATGTGTACTGGTTCTTAATGGGCCATATTTCCCTAATCTAAACAAAAAATTCCCTTCTGAGAAATACGAAAATATTTTTTCCTGCCTGTATCTTAAAATGTTTGTCATCTCTTCAACCTTTTTATATACAAATCCCTGGCCTTGCCCTCTTCTCTTAAGTAGTACTTACCTGTTACATAAAGAGAACAGTCACATTCTTGACACTCTCTTTTGATGCTTATATCAAAAGGGGATAGTTTGGAAGTTTGACTATAAATTCTGTAGTGTACTCTACACTTCCATATGCTCACCAGCAAACTTTCACACTTGCTTCCCAACAACTGAAAGGTGTTGCTTAAGACAACTGCAAGGATCTGATGAATTAAGTCCAGGTGAAACAATGGAATCAAATAATCAGTTATTGATAACAATGAAAATATACACAATAATCCCTGGATGTTTTACATTTACAATATCCTGCCCCTCTCTATCTTTACAAAACAATTTTTTTAAGGATTCTTTTTTTTTTTTTAAAGATTTATTTATTTATTCATATAGAAGTGGAGTACAGGCCAGAGATGTGGAGGGTGAGAGGATTCACCAGAGACAGAGCGGGGAGCAGAACAGGCAGATCAACAAAGTACACTGCTGAGGGGAGCAGTGAGCGGGCAGGTCAGGAGAGGTCTGCCTCGCCATGTGGTTACCTCCAGGGCAGACATCGAACTCATGCAGAAGTGGCTTAAGCTTCTTAGTGCTGTGCTTTAACCCGCTGCACCACCAGGAAGGGCCCTACAAAACAATTTTTAACTAAAATTTCCTGTGACATTGCCTTCTTTTCATTTTGATTCCAGTTTTATTGTGATACAATTGAGAAACATCACTATTAATTTTGGGTACATGCTGTATGATTTGATTTACTGTGTACTGCAGAATGAATACCAGTGTCGGGGACTAAGATCAGGACCTTGCCTCCTATGCACAAAACAACACTTGATAGGAACTTAGGGTAAACATCCCGGTTGAGAAAACAGCACACCTGAATCCCTTCCCCCATTCCCTCTCCTTTCGTGTTCAGCAAGTTCCCGGAGCCTGAGATAGGTTTTATCTCTGGCTCCCCAGATAAGTGTCGACTCCCTTAAGATGAGGACGGCTCCCTCCCCTCAACCCCACTGGCCTTTGAGACATCAAACCATCAAGACCACCCCCCAATGGTACTTTCTGTACTGCCCTCATGCTCTATCTATCTATGACTGTACCAAGAAACAAGAAGAAGAATAAAAGCTCTCCTCAGCGAAAGACGTGTCTGCGTTCTTCCTCGCTCTGTACCTGGGGCTCTACCCCCTCGCCTAGCTGGTCAAGGCCCCCCACACCACAGTAAGCTTAGCTTTCTTCACCTCTCTCTTTTATTTTCTTGTGATGATACCTATTAAAATTTACTCTCTTATCAACTTTCAAATGCATGATACAGTACTGATAATTTTAGTCACCATGCTATACACAATTCCAAAACCTAAATACCTTATATGACTGAAAACAAAGTTAGTTAACTAATTGCAAGTTAGTATTTAATTAAAGGTGCCA